GTTTTCATATTATTCTATGAAAACTGTATTGCTAGTAAAGATTTTTTTCTCCACATAAAAATTAGTAATTCTTTTCAAGATGACTTCTAAGTTTACATAATAATGTAATGTTGTTTTCTATACACACATAAACATATAAATTCTAGAAAAAAGATAAGACAAAATTAACACATAACAGATTCTGAAAATATCTGTACTAAAAATCAGAATATTTTAGGAGATGAGATTAAAAAGAAATAAAATATTTCTTTTGGGAAATGAGATTTTACATTCCTAAGAGTCCATTGGAAAATACCAAATTCAATGTTTAGTTTTTTATAGATGCACTTGGCTTCCAAAAGCCTTAGAAATTTTTTTAAAAAGTACTTTTTTTGAAGCCCTGAAAAAATAACAAAAGCAATAATAATACTGTATTTATTATAAGAAAAAAGAATAAAACTCTCACTGCTTTAGAAAAGATTGCTACTCTCAATTTCTTGTAAGATTTCTCTTTCTTTTTTAAATACTTAGATGGAATTTTCAGGGTCATTCAATGGAAGTGGCTTCAAGAGCTTTGCCGGTAGACTGCGTAACCCAGTTCTCAAACAAAGCCTACAAACATACTTCTTTCCTTTACAACAGTTAAAGTCACAAACAATGCATGCCAAGTGTATAGAAGCATGGTAACAGTCATGGTGTCTGAGCAATTCTTCTACAGTACAGAGATGAAAACCACAGGACGATATTTTGTCATGATCCATCATTTAATTCATTCCATCAATGCTAATTTTACATAAGGGACCCTCCCTTAGGTAAAGACCCTGAACACATGAAGAGTGAATTTTGTAACTCCCCATATCACATAGGTATGTTTAACTATAAATCTGCTCCAATGTTTTCTTTGAAAAAGAGGAGACAGTATGTATTTTTGAAATATACCTTTCATGGAAGATTTCTTAAATTGCTGTGATTCATTACCCCCTACACACAAGACATTTGGAAATGCCCAGAGAGATGTTGGCTGCCACAACTACTGCCCTCTGCTGTTACTGCTAGCTTCTGGTGGGTAGAGCTGGGGATGATGTTAACTGTTACCCAAGGCACAAGAGGGTCCCAGCTATGATTACCTGGCCAACTCCGTTGAAATGAGTCTAGGTTGAGAAAACCTGCAAGAAATTTCCAGGGTTCTGCACATCTCACACTGATTTGAAAACCATCAGTACCATTCAGTTGTAGCTGAGAAGGTGCTGTGAGTGTAGGTCAGTTCTACTCAAATTGCAGATCAATTACAGATGGGTTTGTACTATTATTTATACATTCTGTGGCTGGAGCCTCCAACTGACTCCTTCAGGAATTACAGTATCACTTTCAGTTAGGTTTCTGGTACTGCTTTGCCTAAAACTTCTCATGTCTAGACAGGGATAATAACATGAAAGATGAAAGTAACTTTACTCATGATCTAAATCACAGGTCAATGTATATTCTATTGTCTTCCATAACAGCAATATCCTTTACACCACTAAATTTTTTTAAAGGGCTCATTAAATAAAGAAACTTTATAATATTCTTTTTAACATTGGAGTGATTCAAAATACAGGTCACAAGGCATAAAAGAGAGGAAATTTTGATAATAGAATAATCAACCATCTTAATCAGTCTCTACCCTTCTTCCAAACTAGCTCCTTAGTGGTTATTGTATTTTTTCAAATAAAATAAAGCAAGTGATTTTAAAAGAATTAATCCTAATATCAGTTTCTGAAAATCCTGACCAAGGATGCCTCCCCATGACATTCAAAACAGTCTTCACCATCTAAAAAGTTTAAAGCAATACTGTAACCTATTCTCCATATTAGGAGGGCTTCTTTCTTTCTTTTTTTATTATGGCTTTTGCTCAAAAGCAACCAAGAATTCTAGAATTTATGACTCAGTTCGGAAGAATTGTAGGACCTCAAATGCAAATATTGAAAACCCTGTACAATCCACATATGTATAAATATATGCCATATAGATATATCTATAGATATCTCAGGTTGAAGGCATAGAAGGTCCTGAAAAGCTTTGAAGCATTTTTTCTCTCTAGCCAGAGGACAGGAGAAGTACACATGGTGGAAGGAGCATCCACCCCACATTCTTGCACTCATGTTAAGTACCAACAGCCAGGAATCTGTAAATAATGTTTCCAATGGTCCACACATCTGTAACCACACCTACTCAGTGCTTGCTTTGGATGAGTTCTGTGAGCGTTCAGTGACTTCTGATCAGACACCAGCAGCTGACAACGTGAAAATAAGGTACAGAACCCCTTTGCCTTTAAATAGAAGTGGCTCAGGGTTCCCTTCCCAAGCCCAAAGGATTTTTGTACTATTAAAACAGAGGCAGAGCCTGTTACTTGGCCCTAGAAGCCCCTCCTCTTTCCTCCCCTCTCCGCTCTGGTGTGGACTCCTGAAAATGTCAGACCTCCGGGAACCAGCAGTCTTGCAGTTTCATAGATCGCACAACAAAACTCTGGCATCTTTACCCCCGCATCCAACAGCACTCAGCCAGGCATAGTGCTGGAAGCTGTCGCGCCCCCTCGTCTGGCCTGGGATCTAGTTCATCTCCAGCGAAAATACCAAATAATGCCGCACGGCTTTGCACATGGACGTGACCTGTCGCTCTTTTAATCCCTTCTCTGCCCTAGATAATTTTAATCTTCTTCCATTGGGGAGCCACGGAAGCAGGGGATATGCAGCTAAGGAGATGCCCGCGTTACCTAGGAATCTGGCGTCAGTATTAGCGAGTCTGGCATTTGACGATTATTTCCCTTGCACCCCAGACGGTATAGAAACTGTTTTCATGCATCCGCAAATGACTAACATTTTATTGATGTTTCAAAACGAGGCTGAATACTACAGCGCGCTTTGCATTTCCCAGCGGTTGGGAGGATTGTGCCTGGTCCCATAGCCTGCAGCCTGCAGCCTGCAGCGCGGTTCCTGTTTTGCGGAGCCTAAGCTGGGCGGGGAGGCGGTGCTGGTTAGAGGGGGCTTTGGATCAGTCTGTGCGTCCGGGTGGTCATAGGTGATCGGAATCTTTCCCTGTCCCCACACACCCTCAAGCCTAGCGATAAAAACCGAGAGCCGCAGCCACTGAGCCAAACGATTCCCATCCCACCTTGTGCAGACCGCGAGCTCCGGCTGGGGAGAGGCGGGAAGGGGACCCCTGCAGAGCTTGCTGCTGGGGTGGCTGAGCCCAGGGACCACAGCGGCCTCAGCGAAAACCCGGCGGGTTGTGCAGGGTTTCGCTTTATTCATCTGCTAAAGGCAAGACTGGGTCCAGGGTTAAGACTCTCCCAACGCGGGCGAGGCGACAGAGCGGAGAAGACTGCAGCAGATCGCGGGCTGGTTTCCGCGTCCTTCCTTGTTTCTCTCTTTCACTCCCGCGTTCCGCTGCCCAAACTCCTCCAGCGAAAGAGATTGATTGGCATAAGTACTACAGACTCCCGCCCCGGTTCGCATTGATTTGTAAATGGCCCGGAATGGCTAAAGCGTATTGAATCAGAAACTACTGAGTTGAGAAGAAACAGAGATTGGAGAAACAGAGAGGGAGAGAGAGAGAGAGAGAGAGAGAGAGAGAGAGAGAGAGAGAGAGAGAGAGAGAGAGAGAGAGAGAATACAGGAAGCCCCCATCCTAACACTCTCTTTGCTTTGGCTGTTTTGGGCCAGGACAGCGGCTGGCGAGGGGACTGCAGCGCGGATGGCCGGGGCCGCAGCTCACCACGGTTCCGAGCGGGTTAAGTGAGTCCTGCGACTCGTTCCACCCGAGACTCTGCCCAGCCTGGCTTAGGAGGCGCCGATCGCTCCGCCCGATAGGCGCCCACGGGTTAAACTGCCTCTTACATAACGGATGGCCTGGCTCGAGTTGCACAATTAAAACCCTTGATTGCAGTGCAGTTCCTTTCCGACTCCGCAGCCGGGCAGGACCGGGCCGAGCCCCGCAGCGCGCCTGCGCCTCGCGCGCACCCCGCGCGCACTGCGCGCACCCTGCTCTCCACACGGCGCGCACCCGCGCTGCGCACTGACCGTGTACGCGCGCGCGCTGGCTCGCACTTCGGGGTACACCAAGGCGATCGAACCCACAAGCCAGCCGCTGCCCCATAAGGCCTGGCACCTCTTCGAGTCCCACCAGCCCCTGCCCTTCACCTTTTTCACTCCCTCTTCCCGAAAATGGGGAAAATAAATCATTAAGTAAATGCAACGTAAAAATAAGAGAACTAGTTGGCAGCTTGTTAACTGCAGCGCGACCACTCGGGCGAGATGCACAAGCAACACAGTAGCTAATAATGCAACTCCAGTCTGTGGCGTCTCGGTGGCGACCGCTGCAACTTGGAGGACTTTAAACTTAGGGTGCAGCGGTGCGGAGGGCAAGGACAGAGAAGGCCCCTGGCTATGTTTCCTCAGCCCGACCCTGGACTTGGGCTGCAAAGGCGTCCCCCTTCCCTGAGACCTGGAGGGAAATCGGCGGTGTAGGGTGCATCTCTGGGACTGCCCCATTTGAATACCTGGGTACATCTCTCCGAATTATAATAATTATTATTATTATTGCTTTTGTCATTCTCTCCCCTATTTATTTATTTATTTTTGCATTCTTTCTCTCTCAGCCTCTCTCGCTTTTTTTTCTTTTCCTTCTTGTTTCCCCCCTCCCGGCTCCATCCTGCATCCCCGGGCGGGGTTGCCAGGGAAACGGCCGCCTGGCAACGCGCGCGAGCCCGGGGGCCGGGGCTGCCGCTGCGCCCCGCGCTGCTCCCGCAGCTCCTGCAGCTCTAGCCGCCGCGATCGCAGCCGCGCTCCGCCCTCTCCCGCCGGCGGGCGCGCTCGCCTCCTCGCTAGATGGTGTGCGAGCCGCCCGAGCCTAGACACGCACACTCGGGACGCGGCCCCGGCAGCTAGAGGAGGTGCAGCACTGTGCCAAGGGGGTGGGAGGGGAGGGAGGGAGGGAAAGCCAAGAGGAGGAGGAGAAGAAGGAGGAGGAGGAGGTGGAGGAGGAGGAGGGAAAAAATAAGGGAGAAACAACACCCAACAAGTAGGAGGGGGGAAGAAAGAAAGGAAAGAAACCCACCCACCCACTCCTGAAAAAAAAAAATCCTGTGACGCGACGCCTGGCTCCCGGGAAGCCTCGCCAGCTCCGGGGGGTGGGGGCGCCGAGCCGAGAGCAGCGGAGAGCGCGGCCCGAGCAGGATGGACATGATGCTCTTGGTCCAGGGCGCTTGTTGCTCGAACCAGTGGCTGGCGGCGGTGCTGCTCAGCCTCTGCTGCCTGCTGCCCTCCTGCCTCCCGGCCGGACAGAGCGTGGACTTCCCCTGGGCGTCCGTGGACAACATGATGGTCCGAAAAGGGGACACGGCGGTGCTTAGGTAGGAAGAACGAACGGCGTGCTTGTCCTACTTGTCTCCCTCTTCTGTCCGTCTGTCCCTCTCTCTGTTTGTCTGTCTGGCTCGCTTCTCGCCACTCTCTCTGGCTTCCTCAGAGCCGGGCAGCGTGCTCGCTCTGAGGAGACCCCTTTGCAGGCAGCGGGGGACCAGTTCGCCCCCGACACCTCCGCCTCAACCCGGGAAGAGTGCGGGGTGGGCATAGCAGAAGGGAGAGGTGCCACTTGCAAACTCGGTGCCCACGGCGGCCGTGTGAGGGTCAGGGGCTGCTTGGAGACAGAGCGTGGCAAGTTTATCAGATGCCTCTCGATCACACGGGAGCACCGAGCCACTTTTGCAAACTGCTCGGTGTTTATTTTCCCCCTCGCGTGGACACTTTGTGCTGCTTCGCCTCACTGTTCCTTCTTTGCTTTTAGCTGCTTTCTCCCTCCTCTCTCTGCTTTTCTGTCATTTTTTCATTTTCTCTCTCCCTTTTTGCTTTTTTCCCTCCATTGCATCATGTCTTTGGTATTTTTATTGCTTTTCTTCTCTGATTTCTTCCTTTCCGTCTCCACCACTCTCATCCCATCCACTCTTCTGACTCCCTTGCTGCTTCCCTGTCCCTGATGCCTTCCTCAAAGTCCTTATTCTCTGCCTCTTCCCCTCCCAGACTCCCGAGTGCCTGTTCCTGTCCCCGAGCTCTTGCTCATCTGGATCACACCCACAAGCCTGTTCCTGAGCCCCCCTCAGGGCTCTTCTCTCTCTCCCCCTCCAGAAACTGGTTTTATAAACGCGCTCCCTCCGGCGGCTCGCGCACGGCCACAGGCACCTCCACGCGGCAGCAGCAGCTTTCACGTTCGGGTTCTGTCACTCTTTCAAAGGCTCCACTGCTGGGCTCCACACGCTGTCACTGTCACTCACACATGTGTACACACTGAGCCTCTGAGCCTCTCTCTCTCTCTCTCTCTCTCTCTCTCTCTCTCTCTCTCTCTCTCTCTCTCTCTTCCTCCCTGAGTCCTCTCTCTCTCCTTCCTCTAGAGCCTCTGGTCCCATACTCTTGCAATCCACCCATTCATCTTTCCTTCCTTCCTTCCTTCCTTCCTTCCTTCCTTCCTTCCTTCCTTCCTTTCTTCCTTTCTGTTTTCAGTTCTACTTCTTTCCAATCTTCCTCCTGTTTTCCCCTTCTCTCTCCAAGCCTAAACACTGAAATGTGTGGTCCTTAGCAAATCTCCCAGCCTGGCTTTACCTCTAAGCAACTGCACAGTGAGCTTCTAGAAACATTTTTTTTTTCCTCTAGTGAAAATACAAAGTGATAATCAACAGTACTCAGCTCTAAACAAACCTAACAGCCTTACTCCTTCATTTTTTCTCTGCTCCAACATCCCGGCTGCCTTACAACCTCAAATCCTCCAGAAAGATTTGCTTTTTCTCCACTGGGTGGTGGTTGACTTAGAAGTGCAGATTACAGGAAGCGAGTGTACCTGTTATACCTAACCTGAAAGAGGGTGCTTGAATCATGCAATATTTTAAATTTAATCGTGTGAGCGTGGTGTATGAGACTCTTACAATGGGAAACATCCTTATGAGCCCAAATTTACATAAAATACTATCATAATTTCAAATGCATACTAATCCTGTATGTTTTAAATAATGTCTTCTTTGTTATGAAAACAACCGTGATAGGAAAGTAACAAATGTGTTTCATAAGACAGTAAAATAAGTTTTCATTGTTGGTAGTACTGATGAGCCCTTTGTCATATAAGGGATGTAAATTAAACCTATGTTTACTCTTTATATTAAGTTTCCTATAGAAGTTTGGATAGCAATGTTAATAAAAAATACTACCTTCCATATCACGGGATTTGCCATATAAGGTTTGGACTGCATGTGTACTGAGATGTATCATTTGCAAGGGTTTGGTAGATTGCTGATCTTTTCACGATATATCCTGGCATTCTGTTACCCAGTGAACACTGTAATAAACAGTATGGTTAATTAAAATAGCTCTACGCACCGTCTGTTTCCAGGAGACATATATTTAACTCAATCATTGCTTTCAGTGGGAAAGTAATACTTTGCTGCACTGTGGAGGCACTGTCACGAAGACGCTGTTGGTTTGATGTGGTCCTTGGTTACTATCCATTTATTTGCCACATCCAGAGATTTGTACCATCTGAATTTAGGTAATTTTTTAATTTTGAAACTTCCAAAAAAGAATAGATTTTCTCTTCTCAGTGATGCTCCTAACCAATTGGGAATTTTTTTTCTTTTTTAGACATTTAATTAAAAATAAACACCTTTTTGTTATATATGAATCAAAAATTGTGTTTGCATTACTTTTTACTCCAGTTTTCTTACATTAATTTTATAAGTCTTTGGGACTGTTGAGCTGTTGAACATTTTACATTGGCCATAGTTTTAGATATAATTTAGCATTTTTACAAGAAATTCTCCATCCATTAAAAAATATTTAGTAGTAACAGTTATTTTTCTTGGCATCTCCTGCATCTAGTGTTTGCTTTGTTTATGGATTGATACAGAGAAGGCTTAGAGATTCACAGAATGTAAAAAACTCAGTGACATACCTTTCATCAAGCATAAAGTCACGCATTTTTATCTACATAGTTACAGTCATAACTGATTATATTTTCTAATTTGTTTATTTATTTTTGGCACCAGGGATCGAACAACCAAACTTGCTCTTTTAAGGCAGGCACTTAAGCTGCTGAGCTAAACCCCTGGCCTGATATTTTCTAATTTAATAGAAAACAAAACATATGCCTACACCATGAACATCCGCCACCTATTCATCGATACACAAACAAGAATTAGGTGCTTTAGAGAACACTTAGCACAATTAAATATCATTTATCAAGCTCAATATATTCTATTTTTTGTTGTAACATATTCCTCAAAATGCCTAAGGAAAACCAACAAAGTCATAATAGTTATCAAATAACTTTAAGTGCAAAAGGCCTACCTGTGCAACCACGCGAGCCAGTGACTTCTTCGCTTGTGGTTACATTAGTGAGACAGACGTCTAAAGGTCAGGTCAGATGACACATTGCTATCCCCTGAGTGCCAACATATCTGTTTTTAGGAAAGATATTGAAAGCAACCCGCAACAAAAGTTTTCCTCAATTGGCGCTGGATTCTGAAGACAAAATCATTCTGTTACCCATGAACCATATGATTTTGTAAATAATATATGTTTAGTTTATTTTTAAATAAATCCCAACTAGTAATTTTAACATCTCTAGCATTTTAGCTTTGGTTTTGAAGGTCAGTGAATAATACTATTCACTGCTATTTCTCAGAAGGATAAACTTGAAATATTTGGACCTTCTTGAGAAGCTATTTAATGATATACCTACTCAGTATAGTAACTTTTAATACTTCCCTTAACTAAATTGTCCATTTCAATACATAAACGCCTAAAACTACAATGGAATTTTCTATAAAGATAAACTTTTGGGTTGCACTAATTTACTAAATATAGTTGATTGCTACTACCATTAGTACCTATGGTATTTTATCGCTAATACACTATATTAATCTGAATCTGAAAAACTATTCTCTTCTTTAAGTTGCATGTTATGGCACCTAGAAGACTTGAGGAATTGTTTCACCAGGTGGCAGACCACAGAGCCAGAGATGCTATAACACACTGGTCTTCTTAAGGCCCAATGTTTGTAGACTTGGATAATCAAGCCAAACACTGTTCTTTCAGATGATTTTTTTTAAATTATAATTTTGTGATGACTTTCATGTCAATTTATTGTTTTCATTCTTACTACATTAGCTAACTCAGCATGTAAACAGGTCAAAGATACTCAATATTCTTGTGAAATAACTCTTTGAACATTCTCATTTACATTCTCCCTGCCCCTGCATATTTGTTAAACACATGTCATTTTTAAGCTAATTTTTTCAATCTATTTCTCATTCAGCTCTTCTGTGTGAATTTTGTACAGCTTTAGCCACCTTTCTGAGATGAATTCAAAATGTCCTATTATCTGCTTGTCATGCTTTAATCAAAAGACAGAAGGGCGATTCTAGTCTTAAATATGATATGGTCTTTTACTTTAGCAAAACTGAACACAATTCTGCAATGTTAATGCAAATGACTTGAGTGGAAGCCATGTGATAGCTCACTGTGACGTTGCTGTAAGGAGCAGGACTTTTGCCTACTTCGTAGAGCATTTGTACGGTAAATAGGCATTTATAGGGTAGCTTTTAAATTTAGAATCTTCTAAAAGAGAGGCTTTTAGAAGCTTTTGTTACATTGGAAGCTTCACAAGTCTTGCAAGTATTTTTATAAATAAATATAAGTATTTATTTCTTCTCTGCCTTTATACATATGTTGTGTCCTCTGATGAGATAACACTAATTAGCATTGGTTTGAAGTGCATGCTATTGGTTTTAATGAATGAAATGATTTGTGTCAGAATGCAGAATTACCAATAGCAGTAAAGATCTATTTGCGCTGTACTTTAAGAATATCTTTGGAAAGTCTCCCTTAATCTATTGAGTTATTCTTACATACCAATGTGTTTTACATTCCAAATAAACTGTACAAATCTACAAGCATTTTCAAATTAGAACATCTAGCATTATGTAAACAACTCTGCATGTATTAAATAGTGTCATTACACATCTATGTGTAAAATTCTGAGGTTGTGTTTCCTTCTTTAAAAAGGAAGAGATAATAGATTGTCATAAAGAGTCAATTTGGAGAAACAGGTTCTAGAAAATGGAATAGTGTACTACAGCATTATCTGGCATGATTTTTGGAATTACTTTATGAGAATCATATATTACTTGGTATGCTAATATAAAGCCATTATTAAGGCAGTAAAACCACGGAGCTGGTGTTCAGTTTGAATCTGACACAAAAATGTACCAGTGGGAATTGAAAATGCTACTGGTCATTGCCTAAAATGAGAGAGAAAAGGAGGATAAATATTCTTGATTTTCACTTCATCTTGATTTCCCTTCTCCCAAAA